ATATATATACACGCACACACAAAAGCAGATATGCTCATTTCATGGATATTTTTTTCTCTCTCCCATAGATTGCTGTTACAGTGGCAGGTCTGGCGGGTAAAGAGCCGGTGCAGTGCAGTCGTGATGTCATGATATGCCCAGATTCAAGCCTAGAGGACGCCCGCAAACAGGTTTGGTTTTAGCCGGCTCCTCATAAGTTCAAGTTGACTAGAACTAATTTGTGCTGAATGAAGTTGAAGCTGAAGGTGAATGGAGTGCTGTCTCCATCCACTGGCCAAATAGTGCACTGCCAATAAAACTTGATGAAACTAGACTTCTATAAATATGTTCAATTTATCACATCCAAAACCTTGATGCCAACATATGCACATCAGCTATAGAAACGAAACATCCTTGATTGACAAACATTATCAAAACACCCCTGTTTGCAACTTAATGCAGATGAATGTCATTTTCCTGACAGGGTCCGTATGATGTGGTACTTCTGCCTGGAGGTTTGCTTGGAGCTCAAAACCTTTCTGAGGTACGACTTTGCTTTAATTATGTGTGTTTTACAGTTGAACGGATTCCATAGGAGAGCTCTCACGCCATGAGCATCTTGCATAACATTATGCTGCGTCCCTCGAATAAATAAAAAACATCTTTGCGTCATCTGCTGAGGTTAGAAATGCGCTCGTATTGTGAAATGCAAACATGGCATAATTATGTAAATTGAAGAGGGGTTGTGACGGTGATTTCAGTAATGGCATGTTCTGTGTGTGTGTGTGTGTGTTATAGTCTCCCGCTGTGAAAGAGGTGTTGAAGGACCAGGAGGGCAGGAAGGGTCTGATCGCTGCAATCTGTGCAGGTAATCTTCATATCGTGACCTCTGTGCACACATTAACCTTTCCCTGGATGAACAGCATTTATTTCAACTCTTTCAGCGCTTCTCCATTAGGCAAAATGTCAGCAAAGAGAAGCCATATATTACCTTTTTCCTCCAGTATGAATTTCCCAGAGGGCCTTTGGTAATTTTTTCCCCCAGCGGGCCTTTGCCCCCGTTTGTACACCTGAACCGTCTGGATAATTTCTGGAAGAATTTTTCCAATGTGTGGCATGTCAATATGATGCTCATGGCTCAGTGAATTATAATTATGACTGCAGATCTGTAAAACTACAAATCTGAAATACAAATGATGAGGATAATGAGTTGTAATAATTGCCAGTAAGCACGTCCGTCTTCATTTGTGGGCGTATTGAACGCAGAGATGTGTGCTATCAGCTTTGCCGTTCAAGGGCTCGTGAAGG